TATGGCAGCTATATGAAATTGTTATCCGATTTTGACAAACAATTTGACCTGTAATAGAAATACAACTTTTGGGAAAGTTTCAAGTATATAGCTTTAAAACTGAGGGACTAGTTTGCGAAGAAACGAACGGAAGGACGGACGGACAGACAGACGGACATGTGTATTTATATTTTATAGGATCTAAAATTTCTCCTTCACTACGTTGCAAACTTTTGACTGAAATTATAATACCCTCTCCAATAGTATAAAAACCTTCAAAATACAAACTATGCGATTATCCCGTTTTTTTTTTGGTTTCCAAATAATTAAAAAACAAGAAAGGAAAGCTAACTTCGGGCGGAGCCGAAGTTGATATACCCTTACAGAATACTCTATAATTATATTCTCCAAAATTATTCCTATGATGCATTCTTAGTACTCATAAAAAATCCAAACTTCCTAACTTTAAAAACACCAAAGTTATGGCATTTCCAATCGTTCAGTTATAAGGCAGCTATAGGATATATGTCGTTCCGACATATATACTGCGTGCAAAGGAAAGAAGGGTGGGTGCAAAGTTTTAATTCGATAGGAAAGAAGGGTGTGTGCAAAGTTTCAATTCGATATCTTTAAAACTGAGAGGACGGACGGACGGACGGACAGACGAACATGCTTATATCAACTCAGAAGGTGATCCTGATCAAGAATATATATACTTTATAGGGTCGGAGATGTCTCCTTCACTGCGTTGCACACTTTTGACCAAAATTATAATACCCTCTGCAAGGGTATAAAAACACACCTATTATTTTGTCCATGAGTATATACCGTTGAGATGGATTAAAAAAAATTGGTTGTTGTTTCGTCAACCTAAAAATGATTTTCTTAACGGGGACGATATGCTGAAGGCGATCTTAAAGGTTTTCTTTTTAAGATTTCTTCTAAATTTCTCAAAATCATTACGCCATAAGAGGGGTTATCGGAGTACATACAATTAAACTTTAAAATAAATTAATGGAAAACAAGAAAGGAAAGCTAACTTCGGGCGGAGCCGAAGTTGAAATACCCTTGCAGAATATTCTGCAAATTATATTCTCCAAAATTATTCATATGATGCATTCTTAGTACTCATCAAAAATCCCAACTTCCTAACTTTAAAAACACCAAAGTTATGGCATTTCCAATCGTTCAGTTATGTATATGGCAGCTATAGAATATAGTCGGCCGATCCTTATGAAATTTGATATGTCGTATTGATTGGGCAAAAATAAAACCCATAGAAAATCCCAACTTCCTAACTTAACAAACACTAAAGTTATGGCATTTCCGATCAATCAGTTATATGGCAGCTATAAGATATAGTCGTCCGATCCTTATGAAATTTGGTAGGTCGGATTAATTGGCCAAATATATAACCCATAGAAAATCCCAACTTCCTAACTTAACAAACACCAAAGTTATGGCATTTCCGATCAATCAGTTATATAGCAGCTATAGGATATAGTCGGCCGATCCTTATGAAATTTGGTACGTCGGATTGATTGGCCAAATATAATACCCATAGAGAGTCCCAACTTCCTAACTTAACAAACAGCAGAGTTATGGCATTTCCGATCAATCAGTTATATGGCAGCTATAGGATATAGTCGGCCGATCCCGGCCGTTCCGACTTATATACTGCGTGCAAGGGAAAGAAGGGTGTGTGCAAAGTTTCAATTCGATATCTTTAAAACTGAGAGACTAGTTCGCGTAGAAACAGACAGACGGACAGACAGACGGACAGACGGACAGACGGACATGGCTATATCAACTCAGGAGGTGATCCTGATCAAGAATATATATACTTTATAGGGTCGGAGATGTCTCCTTCACTGCGTTGCACACTTTTGACCAAAATTATAATACCCTCTGCAAGGGTATAACAAACTAACTTTTTTCGGAATTAGCCTTTTACGCCAAACTGCCATCACTTTCGACAACGCACATTTCCCCTATAATAATTTTATAAGGGAAATGCTTGCAATAAAATAGCTTTTACTAAGCTGTAATGCTTAAGTCTGTTTATGATAGAATTAAAATAAAAGCAAAACATAGAAAAGAATTTGGTCACCCAGTATGGAGATTAAGCCCGGCAGCATAATAGCCAGATGTTTAATCTATCCCAGCCTATTTATCTGAAATATATAATTTTAAAAAATTAATTTCAGTGTATTTTTCTGTTTTGCTATCAACATTTTTAAATGCCTTATTTCCTGTCAAGAGAGATTTTTCTTTAAGCAATACATTTTTTTATCCTTGCAAGGGAATTATAATTGCAGTCAAAAGTTTTCAACGCAGTGAAGGGCAAATTTCCGACGTATATAACGTATATACTCTTCATACCGTTTAATCATTTTTTCGCAAACTAATCCCTGAATTTTAAAGCTATTTATATAAAACTTCGCAAAAAGTCATATTTTTTGTTGTAGGTAGACAAAATACGTATTTCCTAGTCTTGCGCTTTGTTTTGAACGAAGTGGAGTTAAAATAAAAGTATGGGTTTCCAAATTAACCTCATTCAATCTTTTAGAGGCCTTCTTGCTCTGAAATGATTTCAATTCTTTAATTTCAAGCTCCAGAACAAAACAGTATTATAAAACGAATGGGCTTCGGGTAATTGGGGGTCCTGGCTCCTGTCACAAATAGCCTTCCAAAAAGTATGCCAAACACATACATGCACACTGCCAGGAAAGTAGCTAATGCGTGATAAAATGAGAGAAAGCAGCGGGAGTAAGTCGCATATTTTCATTAGAAGACATCCATCAAAATTCACGCATGGGCTTTCCATGCTTCCCCAAAATACAATGAATCCCGCCCATTGTCATTTCATAAGCACTCACAACCGCCTTTCAGAAATAGTTTGACTTAAATAGGCAAAGAGTTGTTGGTCACGAAAGTCTCATAAAGAAAGCCGATGTCATAATTTGCCCTGTGCCTTAAGTTTCGTTTTTGTTTCACGATGGGGGTCCTAAAAGTAGGCTACCAAGGTAATAAGTTTTATCGACTTCTGTTGGTTGTCCCAAGGAGCCTTAAAGCAGGATATACACTTTGCCGTAACAGAACTTAAAAATCAACTTTAGCCGCTTGAATATGGAAAGGAAACTTTTCCATTTATCACACAAGAAAGTGAAATGCCCTGCAATCCTGTGTCCCTTTACCCTATCTCCCATTTTGTGTCTCATGTGAATTTCATTCGTAATAAAATTCATATGGCTTTGGCGCACGTTAACCAAAAACACCGCTCCAAGACGGTGGAGCATCATTAGGCTGGGGCACGCACACATTTTCAGCCACTCGGGTCGCACCGCATCGCAATTTCTTGCCATCGTTGGGCGCCACATGCAAAACGCCATGTGTGACATTTTTACTACCAAACATTTGTTTTGCGCACCGGAGCTGCTGCCCTCCCCTCCTCCCTCCCCCATGTATGTATGTTCATACAGGGCAGGGAGGCGGTAAAATAAAGGGGGGTGGTTCGGACAACCAGCACGTACAGGGCACCGTGGTCGCTTGCCTGTCGTTTGCCTGTCGCAGGTCGCCTTTCTGTTGACTTTGCATATTTTTATTGCTTTTCTTGCTTTTATGCGAGGTCCCCTTTTCCCGAACCCATCTTATTGCTCACACGCAGTGCCGCTGGCGACATTGACATTATAATCAATATTTCTGTTACTCCGGTCATGCAGTGTTTGTTTGATATGGATCAGTTCTAGCGTTTGCCTCAGTTCTGTTTGCCCTGTCTGTGCGATGTCTTTGGGGAGGTTCCTCCTCCACACCCTCGACACTCTTTCATCTTCCGCTTCAATTTTTGGTTTTATATTCAAAAGTTAATTTGATCTATTTGAATATGCTTTTATTTTCTGGTAGGTTCCGTAGCAAAGGTCTCAAACAATATATTACAAAATGTATCACAATCCAATTATGTGCACAATATTAAGAAATACTGTTCAAGACTTAAACGACAATAGTTTACTTTAAAAATTAATCCCATCAGAATCAGGTTTACCAGATTATTTCAGAACATCTCCAAGATAATTTCCAAATGTAACATGTTTTTAAAGCAAACCAATTTAAAGCGATTTTTAAATGCAATACCGTCCTGCTATTTATAATAAACTAATAAGTGTTTTTTTTTGGGAGTGTACTTTTTCTTTTTGTCGTATCGTTAAAGTTAACTATTTAATATTTATTGTCATATATTTTTCCTTAAATATTATCCCAGACGTTTATTTTATGACTTGTTTTGTTTCCGACTGACAGAAAGCTTGTCAGCTCTGCTGAGTTTGACTTTGACACTGGCTGTTTGCTTTGTAGCTCATTCAGAACATCATTTATTAGTAGTCGTTAAAATGTTTATATACGTAGGTGCCGGAAGATTTTATTATACAGAGTATGGTGTCATGATTTTAATAGTAAAAATCGTGTGTGCCTCAAAAGCCCTTGACTTTTTTCGTCCAGTTTTCACTCTTTATAACGAGTAGATAAATACACGCCAAATATAATGTGGCCCCAAGTTGTATCATTATTCTCGATGTGGGTGTACATTTTTTTACATGTTGCTGTACGACTTGTTGTTGCTGATGCTGTATTTTAATTTATGTCAGTTGTGTGTTTGGCTTGTTTCTGTCTTTTTTTGTTTCTCGTAAAGGCCTTAAAGCCATTTAAACACGCCATTAAATAATTCATTATAATAATATTCATGTACACGCAGGAAACAAGATAATGTTTTATGTGTGTATGTATGATATAAACCCAGAAGCTCACTTATATTTCGACATCTTTTGAGTCACCATTTAATGCACGATTGCTGTTTTTATTTTGAGTAAGCATCAGAGACGCGAGTGTGCGATGATATTTGGGGGTGCTCTGTTTTTAAACCAAAATAATGAACTTCATCATTAGCTTAGTCGATTGAGGAGAAAAAGAGCTGATTGGCCAATGATGTTATGAAATATGTACATTAATATTGTAAAATTGACACTTGCCTGGCATGCTGAGGACCCACATTTCCCATATCATGAGCCGAACTAGCCGATATTTGAAAATCCGCAATGACGCCAGACTCCATGCCCAAGGGCTGCTGGCATGTTCCTGTAAAGAGATTTTACATTTGGTCAAATTCGTTAAGATAAGGATTAAGAAGTACCTTTAATTAAAACGAAATTTTAAATTTAAGAATATAATGAAAACCCCTTAATGGAAAACAAATCATAAAACCTTTGAAGGTATAGTTCTTCACCGACTTCCAAGGGATTGAGTAAATTAATTTTAGTGCAGGTCAGACAAAAACGTAATCGATCCGTAGAGGAAAATCAAAGAAAAACACCCCTTAACAAGGTAAGACCATTAACATTTAAAACTTGAGATATTACATTTTGTGATTTTTTATAATTTTGTTGAATTTTATCTGTTTTGGTAAAAGACAATTGCAATCTTTATGTTAATTTAACTATTTATTTCTTTTCTTATGTTTTAGTAATAAACAAATCTCCGGGAAATGTGAAGCAACCAAATTTTGACTTATTTTATTTCAATAAATGGCTAAGAATTAATAGCTCAACAAGAATGAGTGTGGAATCTCCGTTATTCAAAGCAACTCGGTTTTTACTCATATCATTTATTCATTTCACCCATGAAATCGAAGATGAAAAATTTCTTCAGGGAGAAGACTTCAAAGGCCGTGGTCAAACAATGTTGGTGAGCTGCTCAACAGAGGTAAGATTCAGTTGTTCCGCGAATTAAAGGGTATATTCATGAAAACTAGCTTTTATTCCTTTTCGAGTGTACTCAAAACACATAGAAGATAAAAATAAAAATTGTACACCTTGTAAGTGGTATTGAAAGACGAAGACGAAGAATCCACTGAGATAAAAAGCATGGATTTTTCGCCAAAGATGTTATTATTCGCCAACAAAAATAAAAATTGCAAAGTTTGAGCTAGAGTCATACAGCATTAAAGAAAAACGAAATGCACTTAATCTACAATCAATCAAAAATCGGATGAGACGAGCGACATCAGTACGTTCCAAGATACACAAAACATGTACGTTCACTCAAAAACTACGCCTGATGTCTTCTTCGTCAAAACTGTCAGTTCCTCATTCTGTAATTTAAATATCCCAAGCGGCTCTGAAAACAGGACTTGATAAGCCCTTGCCGGCCAAGGAAAGCATGCAGCAGGAAAAGGGGCAGTAACATAGCACAATTTAAGAAATAATGATGATCCTTCAAAAATGTATGATGGACTTTATGTCATTCATAAACACAACCATGCAAGACCTTATGAAATCCTAAACAAAGGTTAAACTTTATGTGAAACTTCTTCAACCAGCTTAAAGCATTTCTTGTGAAAAGCTGGCCCAAGTCCTGGCTCTCCGATGGAAATAGTAATTCCTATAAGAATCTCATTCCTATATATCTATATTTCGATTTCGATGCTTAACGAAAATTAAGCATATAACATACATATAACTTAAAAAGCAACGAATATATTTTATTTCCCTTGTTTCTATTTCGATTGTTTCTATGGCAGCTGTATGATACAGTCGACAGATTTTTGTAAAGCTTAAGCCATATTTCTGAAATTGCTAATAAAAAAACCTAACGTACACGAATATATGTATAAACAAGAAAGGAAAGCTAAGTTCGGGCGGAGCTGAAGTTGATATACCCTTGCAGAATACTCTGTAAATTATATTCTCCTAAATCGGATTGATTGGCCAAATATAAAACCCATAGAAAATCCCAACTTCTTAACTTTACAAACACCAAAGTTATGGCATTTCCGATCAATCAGTTATATGGCGGCTATAGGATATAGTCGTCCGTTCCTTATTATTTAAGCAGACTTGATTTTTACGTAGTTGAGTGTGCAATCTTCCGGAGCATTTCGTCACTAAGAGATACTTTTCTCACATAATTTGGGCAATTCAAATTTCATTCGCCATCAATCTGTGTGAATGAACAAAAAACGCAATTATCATCTTCACTCTTTTCCCCACTTCAAGAATAATGGGGTTCCGGCCCTCGAGGGACCGCGAAAGGGCCATGAATAGGTCGTTGAGACATCGTAGTCATTATCATCCCCCCGGTTATTGTCCAAGACGGTGCTCATCCCACAAAATATCAAGAATATTATCATTCTGTGAATAATTAGATGCAATCAGTTAGTGCTCAGGCACCACGAGTTTGAGATGAGCCTCGGAAAACTAGACAGGGGTTAGGCCCAGCCCTCGTCCACTTCTACTGGGAAAACTGGCATTCAAGCGGTCAATCGCGTCATCTGCAGATATGGATACTCAGGGAACCTTCTAGTAGTTTCGTCTGGCGGAGCATCGAATATATCACCATTTTGGTGGTAATATAAAAATTGTTAATTGACTGGTGATTTAATATGAGTTTTAGTTCAATAACCATTTTTGATGGTAGCTCTTTAACTTTATGTAAGAGTAAATATTTTATAGTTTAAAGCATCTAACCGTTCATTATTTTAATTTGTATTAAAATTGTAGGCCTCTTTGAAAGTTTTTTGGTCGTTTTGTTGTTTTGTGTAGTCTGCTTCTGCCGCACTGTGTGCTATATTTTTTATCAGCAAATCCAGTATACCCGATTATATTCGTGTTGGACATATTCGAAAGATGGTAAAATGTTGTATTATATTGCGGAAGTGCATATATGCCTATGGGCCAATTAAAAAAATTGTAGTTTTTCTCTGAATTTTCTGTGATAAAAAAGAAAAATAACACTTATTTTGGGTCCCTAATATTTTCACTGTCGAATGCCATGGTTCCAAGAAAAATTCATTCATTTTAACTACATTACCCTCGCAATGTGAACACCAACAATATTTATGTGCCCAGTGCCTCAGAAAGCCACCAAAGTTTCGCCGCCTTGTCTATTCCATAACCAATTATTTCTGCAGCTCCGAAAGCCCAATTAGTCAAAGCGCAATTGCTTAATTATCTCAAGGCAGCTGAAACTTTGCCAGTAAACAGTTGCAATCAGTCAACTGTCAATACTTGAACCCCCCGTGATAGGACCCATATATTAACATAAATAAACTATTTTTTAATTATTAAAAAGAAACTGAGTTTCAAATGTTTGAAAAGTGTAAGCTTAAAGCGAAAACAGTGGCAATAAGTGCTTTAGATAATTGATGGATGATCCCGTTTTGTTTCTAGCATTTCCATTAAGACATTCGCTGGAGAACGTGAAGATTGTTTGGAAAGTGGAAAAAGTATGCCAGCTCCAACGCGATGGCCTGGTAAATGCTTGGTAGCCTGATCATGTTGTTTTTGGCCAAATAAACAAACGACATCCGAGAAAACATATCCCTGTTCGTTTCGGGAGGAAACTATTTGGGAAAACTTTGGCGGCGCAATGCAGAGCTACAAAGTGAAAAGTAAACAACACATGGCGGCAGAACTCCAATTGTTGCTCCTGGGAAAGTTTTGAGCAGAATAAATTGCACAAAATTTAATTAACTGCACTTGAGTGCGTAGCCTGGCCGTTCGCCCTTCCCCTTTTCCCCTCTTTCCCCTCTTTCCGCTGCAGTTTCGTGTGTGTACGATAATCATAATTCAAAGTTCCCTCTTCTGCTGGGCGGTTAAAACAACACAAACAAAGGGGAACACCGCGAAACTTTATGAAATTGAAAATTACACAATTTTACAGTTCACTGCAGGGCGAAAGAATCGGGAGGAGTCAAAGGGGCTGATGTGTATGTGTATGTGCCAAGCATAAGCCCTGGAAATTGGTAACAATATATTCGGGATACACTTTCGTATATAGCAGCATTGAACTGCAAACACACTTGGGAAACCACTGTCTAAGAGATCTCACCTTTCAAAACCACTTTAATGGTACGGCGAACTATAGTGGGTGTTGATTTTTTTTAACATCGTGGCCACGCCGCGATCGTTTTGCAGGGTATTCAGCTTTCACCCTCCCAGAGATTATACTTTTGTTTGAGTTACAGGCACATAGAGGCATTGCAGAAGTTTCTGGGCGACTGAAACAACGAGGGAAAAGCGTGCAAAACGCGTCAGAAACGCGCTTAATGACGCGTATCTGCTGGCGCTCATAAACAACAAAAGCAACAAGGCGTGCTTTATGACCAGGTTGCCGCTGCTGCCGCCCAGCATCCGCCCTCCCTCGAAACTCCACTACTAACCACCGGATCCACTCGCCAAACAGAACTTTTGGCCATGGCTTGTTGAAGCGGAAAGTAAGCTGAAGCTGAAATGGGGATAATTGGCTTTCAATTGAGGGTGACGAGCGCGAGATTCTTTCGGAAGCAATTAAAAAGCAGCTGACCAAGGAACTCCCAAGCGAACAAGCTGTGAAAATGAGTCCCGAAGCGACGGCCATCAAAAGTGTCACTCCGAGAAGTAAACAATAGATGTGTGAGTTATCCTTCTGATGGGATAGTAAAGGTGAGAGGAGTTGGTCAACAAAATTAAATAAAAAACAAAAAATCCAAACCAGAAATTTAATAGTCGAGAATGATATAGTTATCTAATTTTTAACCGCAATGCACTTCCTGAGAAGTGATCAAATATAATTTAAAAGTGGTTTGCGATTGTGGTAGTTTAGAGAACTAAATGTTTTTAATGGTACCATTTTTTTTTATTGTTAAAGTTTCTGGCCTGTTTTCATGCTACATTATTTTTATCTAAGTTCTGGTAAACCGATTTTAGTCATTGAGTGCTCATTTTACTAGAAATATAACTTTCATCATTTGATTATTATAAAAGTAAGCCTAATTCTAAAATCGTTGAAAATTACCATATCTCGGAGTATATGGTTTTATGTTAATAAAATAAATATATAAGTATTAATTGTATTTCTGGCAGTTATGTATATACAGTCGTTCGATTTTAATAAGACTAAAATTCTGAAATTGCTTAAATATACTGTAAGCCCGAGTATATGAATATATGTTCCTTTGGAAGCTAAATAATATAATAGGTCGATCCGCCGAGTTCCGATTTTTATAGACCTCCGACAGAATGGATCGAATCCCTTGATAAGGCTGATCAGAAATAAATATTTTATAGGTTTGGAAATGTGCCTTTTATTAAAACTAATGAATCTGGCTTACAAAATTAAATCTACAATTTTTTCTGAGGTAAAAAGTTTGGTTATCCAATGCAATTGGACTTCCTAATTAGAAATAAATTCCACTCATCACTTTTTTTAAAGTGAAAATAATATTTTTCTTATTTTGTCATGCCATATATAGATATTTTTATATCCTTTTATCGTAGAGTATTTTTTGGATTATGTAAAAAGTTTAATTTCAACCCTATTAAGCATATTAATTCTTGAACAGGATTAATTGCCGTCCGTATGCAGTCCTAAAATTATCGAATTTCACCATCAGCTCAAGGCAGTTTAGTTTGAAATTGTTTAGCTGAGTAACGCGTATCATATATTTGAGGCACTTGAAAAGAGCGATTCTCATTGCTTTTTTAGGAGTTCAATTTAATAGAAACTGTGTCATCTTGAACCTATATAGGCAATACAGATTGGTTCGTTAATATATATGACAGGGCTCGACCAAATTTGAAAGAGTTGGTAAACGGCACATTAAAAATGTTCATCCTTATACTCAAAGAAAGCCAACAAGTTGTTTTATAAAGATTTTTTAAACTGAAAAAACCGATATTTTTCGACTGAACATCTGCGAACTGCATATAATATACAGCCATTTAAATGCATAAAATTAAAGAGCCTAAAAATCAAAAATGATTTTATGTCTAAAATCGGTTGGCACGAAAAAAAAGTCGATTGTAAATTAGGCGAAAAACGTATATTCACGTAATGCATTTATGGTATGATATCAAGGGTATTAAAACTACGGCTTGCCGAAATAAGCTTCCGATTAGGTTTTTCCAAAATATTTGTATAAATTTATTCATTGCACTTGGATATTTCACTTTTAAATTATGAATTGCAAGCCTTAACAACCTTAAAATTATAAAGATACAATACAATATGGAAATACTGCTGGGTAGTGTCCTTAGTGTCAGTCATATGACATATATGTTTCTTAGATCGACGAAATCTCTTTGCAAAAGTTCGAGAGGCTAACAGCTGACGAACACTATTCGCCAGCTCCTTTTTTCAGCCCGGTACTTAGATGTACGAAATACCTGAACCTGTTGTCACAAAATAAAAAAACCAAAAAAAATGTTTGAAATAACTAATAGAGACGAAACACATCCTAAACATATCAAACTTTAATACAAGACGAAATGTTTTGTTTAAATCTCCCTATAAACTAGTGATAACTTTACATTTCTTTTAAGAAAAGTTTTTGGTTAGCCCCCTCAATGTAGAATTTTATTCTCCTGATTTATTTTTATCTTTCTCAAGTCATTGAATCTTTTTTATTTTCTTCAAACTTTATTCTTTGAAACTGGAAAATATTGTTGGCACCTTCCGAATTCGGAAAACAAGTTGCTGGCTAACGAGTCTGCGGCCTACGGAAACAAGGTGTGTATGTAACTTGTAATGGTCAGCAACCGAAATTAAAATAACAAAGCCCCCGGAACGGTCAGCGGAGGGGGGGAGGCGAGGGGAAAGACCCCACACGAGGGGAAGCGGCATCCAAAGGGCCGGGTATCGGCCAATCAGCAATGGTAATGAGTGGCAACGGCGGTCGAGGAGAAGTTGTGTCCAAGCGACCGAAGATGCAGTCATCTATCAAAAGAGCCGCTGAGGAGCTTCGATTTAGCATCCGACTCCATCCGCCCAGACTAACCCTCCTACCCCTGCTACCCCCTGCTCCATTTACCCCTGACCACAGCCCCTCTCCAGCTTATGACAAGCCTCATGTTTATTAATGACTTCGCCGGGCAAGGAGACTACGGATCAATGGCGCTTTGCGTAAATTTTCTGTAATTGGTTGTGGTCGAGTAAGGCAGCCCGCTTCCCACTTCCTTTGTGCAACAATTATTAGTTACGGTTTTGTGTTATTGGTAAATACTTGAGCACCTGACGATGGCCAAGACAGGGAATAGGAGCCAAGACCGCAGGATCAAGATCCTTTCCGCTTTGCCGTTGATTTATTTCTTAATGCATATGCTTTAATTGAACAGCTGCTCATTATGTCCATAATAAAACTTAGTCTCCAAGTCAAAATTCTTGTACACATCGCGAATTTACTACAAAGATGACTTTTGGTTTTCTGACTGTTTTTATGAGTAATTTATTTTTTATCTCAAGTTCTGCTGAACCGTTTTTTTCTCACGGAGTGCTCATTTTACTAGAAATATCACTTTTTTCCACCCAAATTCTGTTATGGCGAGAAATTGAAAATATTGCAGCTAAAACTTCGGTGAGCAAGCTCTTTAGAACGCTATAATTTTTGAGTGGTACAGAATGTATAGAGAAGATTGCCCATGTCGCAAAAACGTTGAGTTCATGTCGACAGTTTTACTATTCATTCGCTAACCAAGAAATATCATTTGAGCTTTATGCGTCGTTTTCCAAAGCTATTCGCAAAAATAAACAGAAATATTGATAAACAACTTTTGATTTTTGCCATAACAGACTGCCCTTGGTTGGAATAACCATTTTATCAAAAACTATGAAGGTTTTTTATGACTTATAAACGCTCGTGTTGGAAGACTAACAGAAATCCGGCGAATTCAGTGCATTGCAATTATAAATGCAATAAATGAAGAAAAAGTAAAATGTTACATTTATCATAGTTACTATAAAATTCGTAACAGTAAGCAATAAATGTACAAGATTATACATAATGTAAGAAACAAAGAAATACACAGAAAATATGATTATTTCAACCGCCATTCAGTACAATTTTGATACTATAATTTGCAGTCAATTTACTTTATTTTTTTATTGACGCTATTTTTGGACTTAAAAAATGTTTTAAAAAATGTGAATTTCTATGGCAAGATGGTACGGCAAAGGCTTATGCTGTGCAATACCTTAAAAGTGATTACAGGAGCTTAAAACAAAAATAGGATAAACAAACTTTATGGTCCTAATGACCTGAATGCTTTGTAAGTCGCAATGGAACATGGTGTTATGATACATTCCTCTAAACCAGTCTCCGCATCTTCAGTTATTAAATTAAACTTTTGTCTCCTAACAATTCCTGTTTTCACTCGATTAGAGATTGATATCGGATATCGTTGAAAAATTAATCGTAGATATTAAAACTTTGTTGATTTCAACATATACGGATGTACTCCGAAATATAGGGGTTTTTTACAATTTTGGAATTACGGATTTAATATAACTAAAATCTGACGTCTAAATCATAAAGCTACCATAGAACAAAGCTTAATGTTTTCAAACATATGTAATTAGTCGTTTTATATAATATTTCAGTTTTGTAATAGCTGTTCATATAAGCGTCGGCTAGCCTTAGTTTGGCATGTGTTATTAATTAAAAGTTCTGGAATCTGTTCAAACACTTACTTTTACAATTACTTCCATAACTTTTTATTTGAAGATTTAATTAGCTCATATTTTTAGTACGAGAAAAATAATGTAGGATTTCAGGGCCCTAAACCGCGATTTAATTTTAGCAAACTAGGACAAGGGACAACAATTTTAGATTTGTAAATAAAAATATGTTAGCAACGCGACCTTGTGTGGATTATACTCACCGATTTTCGAATTCGCCATGCCTCCAAAGAGCCCTTCAATCGGTACTCGGGCATCAGCTGACTCTGGACCTCCGACTGCCGTTCCCATGCAAAATCGGTCCACCGATAATATCAAAGTCAGAGTCAGCAAACATAAAGTTTTACTGTTATTAACATCATGACGATTAATTCGGCCATTGCTTTTTAAGCAATAGGTTGCAGGTCGCCAGGAGTCGTATCCGTCGACCCGTTTACGGTTCTTGAGTCCGGCTTTAATTGCTGACGGGTACTCAATGGAATTTTGGCTCTGCCTGCTGCATCCCGAATGAATTGAATTAAATTCTTTTAATTTTACTGCAGGCATTTTGATGACTCGTTTTCGCATTGATTTTTTTGTGTACTTCACAGGTTGCTCATCTGGGCGGGTATCTTATACATTTCAACTCCTTTATTGATCTGCAAAAAAAGTAGAGTAGAGTAGAGGCTTGTAAAACAAATTAAGGTAAATTCTGGAGCTCAACCTATTCATCGAGACTTTAAAAGGGCCACCCAGGGTAAAATAGAACGACTCGGAACAGGCCTCCCTAAATACATCATTGTCAGCAAATGAATGTGACGTGACCTTGCAAACTGTCGCGTTTTTGTCACATGACAGGACGATGGCAGTGAGCCAAGCGGAGTTGGCTGCCAGTTTCCCCGGCACGATTTCTAGACCTGAGCAAGCAGAAATTTATGTAAAATGTCAGACGCACACAGAGGACTGAAACTCTTGACATCCCCTTGCGGATCCCTCGGCGAAATGCCAAAACGTGTCAAAATACAAAAATAAAAACAGCGTGAAAAACTGAACACAACAGATAGATAATTTCTTCGGCCTCCTCGATATTTTTTCATTTGCAGCCGAAAACAATATGAGGACCGGGTCTGACGTTTAAACAATCTGACTTAGCCCCACTTTCTCGTCCTCTCGGTAAGCTTAATATAAGTTTAATCTGGTAAACAAGTCATTTTGAAAGTGGTTTGGCCAAAAAGATAACATTTTTATTAAATCTTCTAGGGAGTATAAGCTAGTAATCTCCACAAGTGAACTAAGGCCTAACTTACATACTCTAACACATTTCAGCTAGGCAATTTAATTCCTTGCTAAACCTTTTTATACAATGCAGTAAAGGACACATTTCCGACCGCATAAAGAATATATATTCTTGATAAGCATGTCAGTTAATGTAGCCAAGTCCGTCTGTCTGAATGAAACTTTCTCAAAAGTTTTATTATTTTTATCGCAGGTGGATGGGGAAATCGTTTAAAAAAGAAAGTTGAAAGGGTTAAAAACATTCTACTTGACTTCAGTATTATCGTATCAACAAAAATATTAATAATTTTCATAAACAAAAACACTCTTTATATTATTTAATGAAATCATTTTAAAATCATTTTGGGTACTTTTGATACTCATTAGGAAATATTTCTAAAAAATTGATATTTTAAACCACACTAATTAAATTGACGCAGATCTGCCAATATAAGAAACTTTTGATTGTGACCAGATAAATAATATATAATAATATCGATAATCCCACCGATTGTTTTTAGCAATGCTTACCAATGGACATTGGTTCCAAGCAAGTAAATCATCTTACATTTTCAATTAGACTTTAGGGGCTTTGACCCAATAACTATCAATACAAAATACGCCCCTTATTTAAATGTGGACATCTGCTATAACCAAATTTCTTGGTCAGAGCAGTCCTTATTTTTTGAGACACCCCAAGGGAAAAAGATCAAAAGGTTCCATCAAACAAAAATAACATTTTTCACAGGAATTGCGCCGTCGCAAAAATGCACTCGAGCCATTAATAAAATGTGAAATGAAAATAGGAGTCGGAGTTGGGGAATCGGGAAGAAAGCATGATGAGAGAAGGGAGGGAAAACTGGCGCCCACACTTCCTTTCATATGCGAAATGAAAAATTTTACGCCAACTTGACAGTGGAAGTGGCAGCCAAGTTGCAAATGTGCCGCAGTTCAGCTGGTATTGCTGGTTTTTGTCACCGAAGTCGCCGAAAATAAAAGGCATAAAATTGTGTAGCAACAATCCCGCGCGCCACTTGAGCCCCCAGAAAATGGAGCAGTTTGGAGTCGTGCATAGTTTTTATGGCCACGGGACGGCCTTTTAATGCCAACTCCAACTCCAACTCCCCAACTCCAACTGCCTCCTCTCGCAGTAGTTGCATGGCAATGGGGCAACAACAGCTGGTGGGTTGCGGCATCGAGTTGGAGTTGCAAATGGTCTGACCAGCGGTGTGGAAACTTCTTTTTTGCCCGGTAGCTGTTGCCACAGCAAATGCCAATTTGCATGTGAGGAAAGCAATGTAGAACAAGTTGCTCGCAAGGCGGCTCATTTGCATTGGGGTGAACTGGTAAGTGACCAAAATTTTTTGGAAAAGCTGATTTTTCTTATACAGCACTGTACTTATTTAATTTTAATTTACCGTAATTTAATAATTTTCATTTAAAAAAAAACAAAGGCAAAAAAGTCTGTGATATTAGTATAATCCACCTTGTTGAGAAAAATGTGAGCTCGTATAAAAAAACTACATACACAATTAATTTAAAGCAACTCAAGTTTAGTTACAACCGGACTAGACAGTGTCTAGAAATATATATACAAACAAGAAGAAACGATATATTGGAATGCACCTACTATAAGCTAACCAATTTCAAATCAAATATGCCCAAATATATGATGGCGCATTTCGACAATTTTAGGTGCAGCCATCTGCCAAACAGTTTTTTCGCTCTCCCAAATACACATATGAATTTCGTTTTTAACTATTCAGTGACGTAATAATCAATAATATAACCGATAACTTCAATAATATTGTTGCGATTTGGAAAATGTTTAGAGTGTCAATAGGTATTGACCGAATAAATTTTTGTTTGTTCGGTATTGACAAATACCGTCCGATAACTGGCCTCTAGCAGGTCTTTATAGAGTTTTTCGATTTGTGGACGTTAGAGTGGCGTTGGCAACATTGTAAAATAAATAAATAATTATAAACTTCATGCTAAATCCTAAATTTGTTGCCTTCACTCTACGGTAACGTAACTAGTGCATATGTTATTAAGCATTAGGTGTCCTTCCTTTACGTACTTATGTTTTTTTCCAAAAAGCAATCCTCCAACATTTAACTTTCTTACTTTTTATTTTTCAAAAAGTTTGGATCTTCTTACTTCCCTCATAAAATATCCTTTTTGTGTCTTTATAATACAGTTATTAATTGTCCCACAAAGGCCAAATTAAAAAATGGTTTAAATGGTTTTTGTCTATTCATTTTACCAAGCTTTCCTGTTGCAATGGCTTTGGCGTTGTTGTTGCCCAAAGCGACGTCGGCAACATTTGTAGCATGTGGTAATTAAATGCTGGAGACACTGCAACATCCACGGCCCAAATGAAGGGAGCCAGAGAAAAAGCATAATAATTTACGCGTTGTGTCTGGAAAAGCAAATAAAATGGAATAGCTGGCATTGGCAACCGCGCCCCCAATAACCGGCGGTGCACAGTGGACCATCCCATATGCCAGAAGTCAAAAACTTAAATTGAAATATTTGAGAGTATGTAAATCCATCCATTAATTGAATAATCTATATAAGGCAGGTTTTTTTTTCCATGCGACCTCTGAAAAAAATTTTTTAAAGTTAGTCCAATGTGCTACCATTTTAGTATGTTCTGATTTTCAAGGAACAAAGACAAAGTTTTAGAAATAAGAAACATGGAAAAACAATTTTTAATAATATGGAAATTGTATTGCCTTGTTTTTGGACTAGTCAGTTATAACATTGTTGTTATTGGTCTTAAAAAACACCGTAGATTGTCTTGTCTGTATGTTTTTCCTGAGGGAATTCCTCATAAATATGAGGTTTTCCTCAATACTCGTGAATTTTTTCGAAGGTTATGTAAATTTCTATTTTGCTATTTTAAGACTTTTGAGACTAGACGTAATTTTTCCGAAGCAGTTGTTATTACAGTTTATATTTACTACTCAAAACCTTAAACCTGGTTCGGTAAAGAATACGAAAATCAGATGTTTTTCGACAATTTTAATCATGTTTGCAATGTTTTTTGAAAAACTTTAATGTTTTTTTTGTAACACACTCTCAATATACCACCGCATTATACAGAATACTCTCCGTCTTGAACCGTTTCTTTAAATCTCTGATCTTTAGGTACAACTTATGAGACATCTTATAAGGAAATAATTTTTTTAATTCACATGTTATTACATGTTATAGGATGTTAACTATAAACTTAGTTAATTAAAAATTTCTGTCAGATTTTAAACAATTTTTTTAAGGCCTTACGTAAATATTACATAGTTAGTTAACCATTATTCATGGGTTAGAAAGTTAGTACTATTATATAAGTTTTTATTATCATTTTGCAACAAAATAAAATTGTAAATCGTCAATAGAATCCTAATAAAAGTCGTTGTATTCAGTATAGGAAGATTCCCTTAACCTGGGTTGCAAAAATAAAGATGAAAATTCTGTATGAATTTCAAAGCAACTGCCCTAAACGAGATTCCTGGACATTTGAAATCAAAACTGCACTATAAACTCGTTCGCAGCTGGTGTTGACAGTGCCTCGATTGTCTTTCGCTTTTTTATCATTTTCTTACGTCTCAATGCCCGACCGTGAAATGGGTTTTCCTATTTCGTTTTTTCGGCACGCCTTCCAGGCGTGGCAGTGGACTGTTATTGGCTGGCAACGCCTATATAATCATTTTGGTGTTGACACTTGACACTTCAAATAAAAAGCTGTAATTCCAATGTCTTGTCGTGATGGCCTTTCTCAGCGTAAAGCTTATAAGGCGGCCAAACTTTATATCAAAAACTCATTAAGTTCCACGCCTTTTTGAATATTAGTTTGCAAAAGCACCGTATTAAAAAGCATTAAACAGTACAGATGCTGTAAATATTATACCATATAGTCCAAAAGCTGCCTGTAATAATTGCCTAAAATTAATAAAAAACTTTATAAAGGCTAATGGAAACACAAATAAATTAATTCATTATATACAAATAAGTGTTCAATAATAATCAGTTTGGATTTAAATGAAACGAATAAGTAAAAATCGCTCGTCATCAAAGATGGATTAGATTAAATCCAAATCACCTTACAAAGAAATAAGACTTGAGTTCCCAAATGACGGTTTTTATGTAATTTTTTGTTTTTAAATATATGTATTATATTTTATTACCATTTTATATTGCCGTGACTGTTTAATCTTCGGTCATTATACGTCTGCTAACCCCAAACTTTAAAACGATCTCCTAAATAGTGCATTTAGATAGGGTACTGTACTACCTAATTAATATTCATTTAAAAATTTGTTGTTTTTTTCTAGGACTTTCGGTTTGAAAAACTTCTTATTTGTTTCGAAACCCTTTCTAAAAA